CAAAAGTAGTAACTATTGCCAAGGAAGGAGTTTTAAACAGACACCATCAAGAAAAGCAGAGTCCTTTCAGTCTTTGAAGACCAATTAGTGTCCCTGGATTTATTTTTGCCCTCCAGCCTTTTAAAGGCCTCATTTCAGATTCTAGACCTTTGCTGTCTTCCTATTTCAAGCAGTCTGTTCAACCTGTAGCGGGAGATACATGCCTTAGAAAGCTGTAATTCAAGGGTGGGGGGAAGAGAAATTTCAAGTGATGAGATTCTAGAATGAAAGCGTTACTGACCCTGCAGCAATATTCTGCAGAAATATGGTAGATTAAAAATAAAATCAGAGGGGCGCCTGGGTGGCTCAGTGGGTTGAGCATCTGACTCTTGATTTCGGCTCAGATCACAATTCCCAGGGTTGTGGGATCGAGCCCTGTGTCAGGCTCTGCATTGAGTGGGTAGCCTGCTTCTTAAGATTCTCTCTCTCTTCCTCTGCCCCTCTCTCCCATTCGTGTGCTCTAAAATAAAAAGTAAAAAAAAAAAAAAAAAATGAAATCAGAAATGTCACTGACCAAAGACCTTACCTTTGGTTAATCATTTCTAAGACTTCTCTGACTCATTCACCTGAGGGTGGCTTTGACTGACTAAAGGCAGAGAACATACAACTTTTAGTTTCGTTTAGTTTTATATATATAAGTTTGCTCTGTAACCACAATGAGAAGGCGGGCTCAAACCTGCAGCCAGAAGGGTTTGAGATACAAAGATCACCTCACTTCTTGGAGATTGTGAAACAGTGTTTTCTGAGTTTTTTTCCCTCATTGGAAGGATCCACACATCCCATGTGGGACGGGTAAATGCAGAAGGATGGTCCACATGACCTCTTAAGATTGCCAGTGACAGTTACAGAACTAAATGGTGGTTATTTTGCTTACAATCATTTGTGTATTAGCTTTCCTTAAATGGGAACATACCCATTAAAAATCAAACTGGGCTCTTCATTGTTAAGGTACTTGGAGTCTAGAAGGGTGAAATCATGGTGTTGTGCCGTACATAAAATTATATGGAGAAATGCCAAAGAACTATTGCAAAATAAAGTGCTGAGGAAAACTAGGAAACCGTTGATAAAAGATAAGGGGGAGGTTTGGGGTAGGTATTAAGACCAGAGCATGAGTAAGAAGTGATGTGATGATAGCGACACCCACCAACAGCCGCAGGAACGGGAGTGAGAGGCACTGAGCGCGGGCTTGAGGGAGTATGTTTTCTCAAACTTGTCTCTGCTCCCCTACGCATCCATCACCTCCCTGCACAACTCGGCCATTTACTGTTTCTCTTGTGTGATATGTGAGGGTCATAGTTGTCTGTCAGAACTGTGAGGATGTTCCTTTTATGAGGCCTCCATCGGCCCACAGCCCTGCAAGAGAAGCCTCTCCCAAAACCCACCGCTTCCAGGTGCTCATCCCAGGAAAGCAGCTCAGGACCCCACAGTGACAGAGGCCTTGGGGAAGGTTGACATGAGCCTAGTAAAGGACGAGTGCTCAGAAGTGCCCTCCTGCTCTGTGCAGGGGACAGAGGGGACAGGCTGTGGCATCACTCTGAGCAGAGTACCCAGGCCGGTGCAGACCCAGTTCTGCTGTCCTAGCACGCAGCTTCCGGCAATTTTGTTCCCCTTATGTAACTCCTTTCACTTGACTCTTGAAGTAATGACCGCCCCCTCCCCACGCATTGGCATGATCCGCCACATGTCAGGCACTGTGCCAGGGCTCAGGGGCAGGTGGAAGCGGTGAGGCCCGGCCTCGAACGGCTTTCACAGGAGGCGAGTGAGTGCTCTAGTAGAAGTACAGTGTGTGCTGGGAGCAAAGGGGAAGGAGTAACTAAAGTGAAGAGGAGAATTAGAAGGCCTGTCACACCTTTGTGGAGCAAAAGCACTTTTTTGTTGTTGTTGTACTTTGTGTAAAATTCTAATGCATCAAGGAAGCTTTCCAGAGAAAGGTAAATAATGCAAGCGCAGGGCTGGAGCATAGACCACATGGGACACGTTTAGGGACAAGTGAGGAGCTTAGTAACTGAAGAGGAGGAGGATGGGACAGCAGGACGTTGGGACATAATCTAGTGGGTCCTGAAGGGGAAGGTTTTCAGTCTGCTGATCCAGAGCGTGGCCAAGGTCAGGAGATGGGCCAGCAGCACTAACACTTTTGTTTATTCATTCGTTTACTTATATGTTCATTGACTTGTCCATTCAGCAATCATTTATGCATCATTCCCCCTGTGACAGCGCTAATCCAGGGGCCGAGGAAGGAAGAATATTAAGACACAGTTTCTTTCCTGGAGGAAATATCTCCGTCTGGTGGAGAGGACAAGTACAGTGGTAACTGACCCAGATAATAATTGCTACCTGCTCCAAGAACAGAGTTGAGCAAGTGATTGATTATGTTTGGAGGTAGAGGATGGTCAGAAACAGCTTTAAAAAGTGTGTCATTCGAGCTGAGTTTAAGGGATAAATGGGAGCAGGAGCTCGCCGGGTTACAGCGGGAAGCCTTTCAGACCGCATGAACAACACAACAAGCCCAGAAGCTTGGCTGCGTGGGGCACACTAGGAACAAGGGGAGTTAGCTGAGTGGTTCCAGATTTGGAGGGGAAACAGGGAGGAGAGACTAGAGACGTAAATTAGATCTGGAATATGGCTTAGTCCTGAAGGCAGTGGGACAGTGTTGAAAATGTGTAAGCTGGGACGTCAGGAAAGTAAATGTCGGTAGGATGTAGGGAGGATCAGAGAGGTCCCGGCAGACTGTAGGGAGATAGATGTGTTACTAGCCCTTTCATTTATGCAGAAGAAAAGCCAGGAGGACCGGAACTGGGGTGGATTCGGTAGGACCTGATAGGGTTATCGAGTGAGAAATTATAATGTGGGTAACTCCTGGGTTCCTGGCTTGAGTGAGTGGTGCATTCCTAAGACTGTTCAGACAGGAAGGAGATGATGAGTTCATTCTTGAATAAGGTGAAGGTTGGAATAAAATTATGTGAAACATTGAACAATGTTTTAGGGTTACTGCAGGATATGTGTGATGTGCTCCCCACCTCCCACCCCACCTTAAAATCCTCCAGGGGCTCCCCTGTTCCCAGCAGCCCCAGCCTGGGCCCTCCACGTCACCGCTCAGCCCTACCTCCTAACACTTGTTCCAGCCTGAGCAACTTGCAGTTCCTTTACCTTGCTAGGTTGTGTTCTACTTCTTTATGCATCTAACTAGAACACCTTTTTCCTTCTCTTGCTTTTTGCCTGGCCTATTTCGAGACTCACTCAAAGGTAAGATCTTTAAAGAAGCTTCCCCTGACATTCTCTACCACCACTGCCAGGGAGGGTTAGTATAAATCTGCCAAAAGCCGAATGCTCGCCCACGTGATTGTAATGAGTTTGTATGTATGTCACCTCCTCTACCACTATGTCCCCCAGGACAGGAGGCATCTGTGTATCTACTGTTCCCAGCCCAGATGGAAAATAGGACATCAGTAAATGTTTGTTAAATGAACAGATCCCAGTGCCAGTGGGGGCATCCAACCTTATATCTACCATTGCCCCCCCTCTCCTTTATTCCAAGCCCTCCATTATCTAAAGGCTAGTTGTTCAGTCATCTAGGCCCATGGCCTTTGGCTTGGTTATTTGTGTGAAATGGAATAGGAAGGGAGAAAGAACCCTGAGGCCTAGAGAGGAGGGCCGCTAAAGGGTTGGGGACTGAAATGGAACTCCCCAAGTAGTCAAGGATGCAAGTTTACAAGAGCCTAGCCTGGCCTAGACTAGCCCTGTGAGCCTTCCTCTTTCTAAACTACTGGGCCCTATTTTCTATCACCATCTGGTGGCCACATCTATAAATAACAAGCTCCCCAAGAGCTAAAAGAGCTTCTATAAGGCAGAGTTCCATGGATTGGCCTCAGAGGGCTATAGCTCCTCACCTGCCCCAGCTGTAACGTGCATATTTGTATGTATACAAGATTTGCCTCATGCAAGTAAGAAGTGCAAAGAACTTTCATTTTTTAGTTATTGTTTACTTTATTTTACGTTATTTTAGAACGTGAGCCAGGGAAAGGGGCAGAGATAAAGAGAGAATCTCAAGCAGGCTCCATGCTCAGTGTAGAGTCTGACATGAGCCTCAATCCCAAAACCCTGGGATCATGACCTGAACCGACTTGAGCCAACCAGAAGCTCAACTGACTGAGCCAACCAGAAGAGCCAAGAACTTTTAATCAGATTCTTAAAGAAGCTTATAGCCTCCAAAAGGCTGACCGTTGGAAAACCGACACTCACATAAAATAAGTGATTTGTTTGTTAGTTTGTGACACCAACTTACGGTTTCTTTCCACTGTCTCACGGCTTTTGTATACAAATGTATGTATTCTGTGGTACTTACAGCAGCAAACAAATCGGTGGTACAGCTGTCTTATTTATCTATCCAGAATGTTGAAGGGTAAGAGCGACCTCGGCTAATCACAGCCGGCTGTAGAGGGAGGGATAAGTGCTAACACCATTGAACATCTATATATTAGACATACTGGAGTCGAATTTCTAAACAGCCTTCAAAGTATGTTTTTTTCTTAATGTCTATTTATTTTTGAGAGAGAGAGAGAATGCATGAGCAGGGGAGGGGCAGAGAGAGAGAGAGAGGGACAGAGGATCCAAAGCAGGCTCTGTGCTGACAGCAGTGAGCCCGATGTGGGGCTCAAACTCACAAACCATAAGATCATGACCTGAGCCGAAGTCTGAAGCTTAACTGACTGAGCCACTCAGGTGCCCCTAAAATATGTTTTTAATCATCATTTTTATAGATATATTAACTAAAGCTCAGAAAGAGAAAGTGCCTTGCCCAAAGTCACACAGCTAGTAAATCAAGAGAAACCAGCCTGCCTCCTCAGCCTGTTTTGCCTCACCAGTCAGCCACACAGGGCTTTGAACGAGCCAGTTTGTGTCCCCGGTAGACGGTCCTGGCCCCCTTTAACCTGCCCCGTCCCTTCCCTTTTTCTCTCTCTTAGGAGTGCCAGCTTCTCTCAGGGCACCAGGGCCTCGTTTCTCATGAGGAGCGACACAGCTGTACAGAAACTTGCCCAGGGCAATGGACACTGCGTCAATGGGGTCAGCGGTCAAGTCCACGGCTTCTATAGCCTCCCCAAGCCAAGCCGGCACAATACAGAATTCAGAGACAGTACCTACGACCTCCCCCGGAGCCTGGCCTCCCACGGCCACACCAAGGGCAGCCTTACAGGCTCTGAGACCGATAATGAGGACATATACACCTTCAAGACACCCAGCAACACTCTATGTCGGGAGTTTGGGGACCTCCTGGTGGACAATATGGACGTTCCAGCCACCCCACTCTCAGCCTACCAGATCCCTAGGACATTCACGCTGGACAAGAACCACAATGCCATGGCAGTGGCCACTCCTGGGGATTCGGCCATAGCTCCCCCACCCCGGCCCCCCAAGCCGAGTCAGGCAGAAACACCTCGATGGGGCAGTCCTCAGCAGAGACCTCCAATCAGTGAAAGCAGCAGATCCGTCTCTGCCGCTGCCACCATCCCCAGGCGCAATACCCTCCCGGCGATGGACAGCAGTCGGCTCCACCGAGGTTGGTGTAAACCCCAGCTGCGACCCTGGGGAAAGGGAGGGAGCGTGGCAGTTCTCAGTAACGTGCTAGCCTTTGGTCATCCATACCGAGGAGACCTAGGCCCACCACAGGTTCAGGCGTCTTGTACCCAGACCCTTCCCAGCTGGTGCCCCAGCGCCGGAGGCTAGTAGGAGACTCTGCAGTGCAGGAGTGTGGCCGACTCTGTCTGAGAGAAGTTACTATTGTACTGAAGGAGATGGAACATTCTTGGTTAACCACAGCATAAGTTATTGTGGGTTTCAAAGTCCAAATCACAGTATTTGATTCATTTTTATATAAAACCAAAGACTGAACAAATAAATTCAGAGGACCATTTCAAACTGGAGCCAAACCTATGTGGGCTAACAGACTACTAAAACAAATTTTGAGCTATTAAATATTTTCTAAGCCATACTTGAATTTCTTTGGTTAAAGTCTGAACGTCTCTCTGAAGCATATACATTTTCTTGTCACTGACTCCCCCTGAGCACGTTCCAGCTCTGCATAAGCCACCTCTGTTTGATGAAAAACTACAGTAATATTAATCTTTCATTTTCATCTTGCTGGATAGCTTGCAAAGTCTGCTCTTACCCACCCTGTTGCTGAAGCCACATAGTGAGCCTGAGAGTTTGGTGGGACAAAGCCTCATAGTCTCCCATTTCCCATGAGGCCTGTGGTAGTTAAGAGACTTATTCAGGGTTGCAGAGTCCATCAGTGCCAGAAGTGGGACTTGGACCCGGGGTCCTGAGTCTCGGCACAGTACTCTTTCAGTCTGTCAAACTATTCAATCGATCACCTTGTGCTTTGGAATTGAAATGATACATATGTGTATAAAACATGTCCCTCCCCTTCAGAGAGCTCACATCTAGCTGGGGAAATAAAAGCACATAAAAATTAGTCAAGTATCCTTATTCCTGTAGTATCTGTACGAGTAATGACCTGAGGGAGTGGGACAGGCATCCGGTGGTATAGGAGTTAAAGGAGAGGCGCATACCTGTAGGAAGAAGTAGTTCAGAAAGGATCCGCTGTTGGTGCCAACACTGGAGCTAGATCTAGAAGTCTGGGAGGCATTTTTGAACTGAGGAATGACATGATGGAAGTAATACCCTATCACTTGGGGTTGAGGGTAGTATCTTCTGGAGTAGGACCCTGAGCGACACTGGTGAGGGTTTGGGGAAGTGTCAGCACGTGGATCAGCTGGGAGTGCATGTGAATCTTAGTTCCTGTCTCGTAGCTTCTTCCTGTGAATCCTACGAGTACCCCCAGCGAGGAGGAGAGAGTGCAGGCCGGTCTGCCGAGTCCATGAGTGATGCGGTCCGTTCTTTCCTGGTGAGTGGGGGTCAGCCAGGGGTCCTCAGGCCAGCCCAGCTGGGCTAAAGTTCACACCCCATGGAACAAGGGAGTGGTGGCATCTCCCTCATAGGACCCTGCCTAGTTCCTTGCCTCAGTTCAGATCCCTGGGTTTTTAGAAAGTAAGATACAGGTGTCTGGTGTGGAAGTGTGCTAGACTGCAAGACTACCAGCCCTGCCAATAAGTAGGACAGGTCTAGAATGCAGAGGACCTGGGCTCTGAGGTCCCACCTGGAGGAGGGCCTATGGTGTGAGACTCCGGGTAGGGGCAGTGCTCGGTCAGTCACGGTGGCAGAATTATGATTTGAGTGCAGGATCCCGGGCTGGCCTCTGGACAGGGCTGACCACGACTCTCCGACAGACTAGGGCCTGGCCTCATGCCCATTGGAAAGACCAGACATTGGGTAACTAAAGCAGAAGCAACTTAGTTGTATGTGTGGACAGACAGGGCAGGAGTTGAAGAAAGGCTATAGCCAGGGTTCTTGCATTGTGCAACACGGCGGTCACACTGAGAGCTGGACTAGGGAAGCGCACCTGGCCGAGACCTCGCCAGCCAGGGCCAAGCTTTACTTTATGCTCCTAGCCCTGCTAGGGCTTGAGACTCTGACCTGCTAATGGGGAGTCTGGACTTGAGGTGGAATAAGGGTTCTAGACCAAACCTGTGTGGTCAGTGGCCTGGGCCACCCGCAGCCTTGGTCAGACACCCAGAAAGCCTTGTGGACCCAGCCACCAAGGGTACTTATTCGAAAGATTTATTGAAAATTTTAAGTGGGTCACAAGGGATCATGGAAACTAGAAGGGACCCACAGACTTGATTTCTTTCTGCCTCCCACTGCACTTTCTACTTGGTCTTCCCAGGCGGCTAACTCAGTTACCACTTCCCTTTTGCCTTGTATACAAATTCTCACCCCTTCTTGTTTCTTCATGATAGTTACTGCTGTATTTCTTCCACTCTCCCTCTAGCCAGGGAAAACAGTTGTAGGCCGATCAGATAGCGCCAATTCTGAGGACAACTACGTGCCCATGAATCCAGGTTCCTCCACCCTGCTGGCCATGGAGCGAGCAGGTGATAATTCCCAGAGTGTCTACATCCCCATGAGCCCAGGACCCCATCACTTTGACGCGCTTGGCTACCCCTCAACAGCCCTTTCTCTGCACCGGGGCCCCAGCCGAGGGAGTGAGATCCAGCCACCCCCTGTCAACCGCAACCTCAAACCTGACCGGAAAGGTAAGTCTCCTCTTTCCCCTGTCCCATGTCTGGACAGTGTCCAAGAACCATTTTCACTCATTTGCATTCATTTGGGGATCGGGTGGATCCTGAACTTTCCTTGCAAGGAAGTGTTTAGTCTCTGAACCCCCGAACTCTCACACACATACACAAACACTCAAATTCATTCCAGTGGTCTAGGGACCAGCTACTGGAGTAGCCTGGGCAGGAGTGCAGGCATGAGCAGGACAGGACACATTCGGGTTGCAGTTCTGCCACCTGCCAACATGGGGTTAGAAGCAAATCATTGTGCATCTCTGAGCCTTGTTTCTCACTTGAGAAATGTGAATACTTGCCTCCTAGAGCACTGAGGGACACAGGTAACATACCTAAAAGTGCCTTATAAAGTATGAGATGCTGTTGGAGGATACGGGATGAGTATTAAATCTGGGAGGAACAATCTGTTGTCAGACCCAGTGTCCCCGTTTTGGATTCTGAAAATATTGCTACAGTGCAGAGAAAATATCATTTGGGATCTGAAGACATGGCTTCAGGGCCTGTCAACATAGGCAAAGATTATAGAACCTGCTGAGCCTCAGTTTCCCTGCTTACAAGTGGGAATACGAAAGTATTTATAAATATACTTGTGTGTTATACGTAAGCGTGTGTATGTGTGGCATTATCGTGTGGCTGATCATTTGACTTTCTGTTCCTGCTCCAGCAAAGCCAACACCACTTGACCTGAGAAACAACACTGTCATCGATGAGCTCCCCTTCAAGTCACCTGTCACCAAGTCTTGGTCGAGGGCCGTGTGAGTTATCTGTTTGTGGATGCGGGACCTGGGAACAGGGCTGTGAGGGCTGGCCAGGGCAAGGGTGGGGTCCAGAGAGCTGCATCCCGATGCTGATGCTGGCGGTAGCTGAGCAGTCTCTTGGTCTCTCAGGGCTGGGTTTCCTCATCTGTGGAGGGGGAGTGATTGTACCTGTTCTGTATCAGATCCGAATGTGATACTGGAGGGTGGTGCTGCGAGGGTGGAGACAGAACTGTCCCCCTGAGTTTACTCTGTCTTCTCCCTACCCAGTCACACCTTCAACTCCAGCTCCTCCCAGTACTGCCGCCCCATCTCCACCCAGAGCATCACCAGCACGGACTCCGGAGACAGCGAAGAGAACTACGTCCCTATGGTACGTCCTCTGCGGTCTGCAGGAGTGCCGCCCTCAGACTGTCCTGGGACCACCTCAGTTACCCATGATTTGTGATTACTTTGCTGCTGCAATTCTTGAGCACAAGTGTGTCGAGCACTGTGGGGTAACGATAGAGGCAAGGAAGACACGGTCTCTGCCCTCCAGGAGGCCATGGTTTTAAAGGGCGGGGAAGGTCTGCCACTCATGACTGTGACATGGGTGGCATGGTCAGTATTCCTGGAGAGCCAGTGCTGTGGGGACACAGTTGTGGGATGGGCAGTCATATCGAGCTGGGGAGAGGGAAGGCGGCCGTGTAGAAGGAGGGAACACAGAGAATGACCGTTAACTATGGCTACAGGTGGAGGCTGTGCTGAATCCAGATCATGAAGGACCCTGAATGCTGTCTTGGGAGGTCCGGACTTTCCTGTGGGGCACAGGGAGCCCCAGAAGGTTTAGCAATCCAGGCGATTAGAAAGGGGCTTCAGAATAGTCATAGGGAACATGTAGAGAATAACTAGAGCATCCTTTAAAGTTGACTTCTTTCTTCTTTCTGTTAAAATCTTTGTGCTGTTGTCACAAACATGAGCAAGAATGTGAGCATAAGCATTTTTAAAATTTTTTTTTAACTTTATTTTTGAGAGGGCGGGGCAGAGAGAGAGGGAGACACAGAATCTGAAGCAGGCTCTGAACTGTTAGCACAGAGCCCGACGTGGGGCTGGAACTCACCGACCACGAGATCACGACCTGAGCCAAAGTCGGACACTTAACCGACAGGGCCACCCAGGCGCCCTGAACATAAGCATTTATTGAGTTATCTCCTCAGGGGTGGCCAAACACACATAACATGACTCACGGTGGTGAAGGCCACGGTAGAGGTATAAACACAGGCAGCACAGGAGAAGTTTCCTCCCTGAGATTTTCACTGAAGAGGGAATGGCTGCCCCGCACCTGGGAGTTGCTGCATGAATCATGAAAAAACGAATCAACCAAACAGTAAGCAGCCAAAAACAGAACATAGGACTTTTGCCATTCTCATTAGAATATGACTTCAGGAAAATCGTAGACAAGTTGGTCTTGATGGAGACAGGAGCCTAGAGCGTATCACTTGTGCAGCCCAGGGCTGAAGCCGCCCTGCTCAGATCTGGTGGGAGTGAGCTGCTTTCGGGTGACGGCCCCACGCCGGGCCAGGGAGAGGAGCTTCAGAGAAGCAGGTTTGGTACAACAGAAGACTTTCCAACCTGCAGGGCATAAAGGAAATGTGCCCCTTCTTAGGGGCCAGCAAGCCAAGGCCGGGTCGGTCAGGGAACCTGAGGAGATCTGGCCCGACGGCCCAGAAGGGAGGTGGCCTGGCACAGTGGGAGCAACACAGGTTTGGGAGTTAAAAACAGACCCGGCTCCCATCCCTGCTCATGAACTGTACGACCGTAGGCAAGTCACTTTGCTTCTCTGAACCACAGCTTTATCTTTGCTTTAAATAAACAAGAATAGTAATAATACCTACATCACAGGATTGCGGTGAGGTCTTAAGTGAGAACATGAGAAGTCCCTGGCCCTGGTGCATGACTCCAAGCGGGCACTCTCCTCCCTCCCAGAGATGTGTGTATTCCCAGGTGGTGGGTTACTCTGTCTCCTCAACTGACTGATGGTTTTTCCTTCCTTTGTGATAGCAAAACCCAGTGTCTGCGTCTCCCATCCCCAGCGGCACCAGCAGTCCGGCCCCTAAGAAGAGCACGGGCAGCGTTGACTATCTGGCCCTGGACTTCCAGCCGAGCTCCCCCAGCCCCCACCGCAAGGTACGGGGCTCGGTGGGAGTGGTGGAGTGCCCGGCTGCCGGCTCCTCTACCGCTTTTCGTTTAGTCTGGGTCTTAGAGGGCTCACATGCCTCCTCTCTCACACACATGGCTGCTTGAAGTCCCTAGGACCATTTCAGCCAGTCCATCCCCCTTGTACAGCTGAGCAAATGGACCCACACCAGGACACAGGAGCTGCTCAGGGTGACGGAATGGGATCTTGTGTCCTGGTCCTGAGCTCCTCTTTGAAAACTCACTGTCTAGGTGCATCAGCTAAGTGCTTCTGATACGGGGACCTGCAGAGGGGATGCCTAGGCCCCGGAAAGCCCTCCACAGGAAGCCTACTTAGCTGCCGGGTCCAGACGGCTGGGTGGCTGTGAGAGCTCCCCGCTGGCTGCTGCTTGTTGGCACCCAGCAAATTCTTTCTGGATGAGTGGCCACAGGGAGGTGGGTGGAGGCAGAGATGGAAGACCTGGGACCTCTAGGAGTTGGGAAATCAGGAGCGCTGACAAGAGGCTGTTACATGAGCAGGAGCGATGATGCAGTTTGGGCTTTAAAGGCCAGTTTCAGAAAGAGAATACAGGCTCCTGAGGCCAGTCAGGGTGGCAGGCAGAGGCCCATCCCTTCTCCCTTTGAGGCAGCTCACAAAGAGCCCCCTTACTGACAGCTCACAGCACTTCCCATTCTGTCCTCAGCCGTCCACGTCCTCTGTGACTTCCGATGAGAAGGTAGACTACGTTCAGGTGGACAAGGAGAAGACCCAGGCTCTGCAGAGCACCATGCAGGAGTGGACGGACGTGAGGCAGTCCTCGGAGCCTTCCAAGGGCACCAAGCTGTGACACAGGGGCCACCAAGTCTGGGGAGGCGCCTGGAGGTAGAGTCACCGGAGCTGGCTCCTCCCCGTCTGTCTGCCCCCGCCCCCTTCTCTCCAGTTGTCCCCTCCACTCTGGCCTTCAAAGCACTTGATGTCAGGGACCCTGAACCCTTCTCCTGGGAGGTGAGGGCCTGATCAAGGCACTACTCTGCCCCCTCAGGGCCCACCTTTGATTTTTATCAGTAATGGCCATCCTCTACCCACCTTAGTTAGAGCTATTGCCAAAAAGCATCCTTCAGCCTCTTTCTGTCCTTTAGACCTAAATACCTACTAGGCGTTGGGAGGGGCTGGGGCTCTGAGCCAGATTCCACACCTCACATACGGTCTTGGCCCTCCAGCCCTCTTCCCTCCAGCTACTGGGCTACCTCTCCTTAAGTCCCACAAGATGCCACGTCATCTCGCTGGTCCAAGGAGCCCAGGACCAGCAGACCAAAGTGGACATGGACTTCTTCATCCTTGTCTTTCTTGGTAGGGGAGAGGCAAGGCCACCAAAAGATGGAGTTGAGAAGGAAGGTTAGAGGTGGTCTTGAGGGACAGAGGAATGAGATCCCAGGTGCAGAAGGCAGTTGATATGGGCAGGGGCCTCCTAACTCTGTAGCTGTTGTAGGTTGGGAGAGCCAGAAGAATGAGGACAAAAGGAAGGAAAACGGAGGACAGGCAACCAGAAACAAGGGGCAGGGGGTGACAAGGACCCTGTGGAGTCAGGGCCCCCAGGACTGTGGAGCTTACAGGCCCTCTTCCCTGGGCGTACCCGCTAGAGGAGGCTTCGACGGTGCTGGGTGTGCAGTGGGGGGAGGCAAGTGATGCAGGGTCGGGATGGAGCGTGGGGTGGACTGGAGGTGCTTTAGGGCCGTATACCGTAGTGGGGAGGGTGCAGCAAGTGAGTTTGTGCAAGACAGGCGGTGGGGGTGGGCAGATGACTGACAGATGGGAGGCAGGGTAAGGATGGTGGAGGTGGACAGTGCCTGGGGATGGAGAGAGGAGCAGAAAGCGAAGGAGCCACGTGTGCAGGGCAGACCGAGGGCAGCGGGGAAAGCAGGCAGGGGAGAGTGGTGTCCCCAAGGATGGGTAGGAGAGCATGGGCTCGTGCCAGGGCCCAATGGAGGTACGAGTGTGGTGCCGGGAGCCCATAGTGCTTGCCCGGTTCGTCTTACAGCTGTCGCTCCCTACTAGCCCAGTGCCACAATGGACTCAGACCTGACCCTGCAGGGTACAGGAGGCAGGACCTCACCCCCAGGTACTTTCTGGCAAGCTGGGGAGGAGGGACCCAAATCTTCCAGAGTTGCAGAGTAACTGGGCAGATCAGATGTTTCGTCCAACCATGGATGAAGAGACCTCCTTCCTTTGGGAAAAAAATAAAAGACTTCCCACCCTGCCTGGTGAAGGTGGCTACCAGTCACCTATCAGCCCTTGCGAGCCCACACCTGGCCCTTCTCTAAGAAGCTCTGACCTGGCGGAAATTATTTTCTCAACAGTAGCCCGTCTCCTAACTCAGCTGCATTTCGTAATGCCTGCTGGGGCCAGGTTCTGGAAACACAGGGATTAATCAGTTTGTGCGCTTGAGAAGGCAGGGGTGGCAGGAGGGCATTGGACGTTGGTAACGGCTGTGAGAGACTGGAAATATTGATGGAGAGCACAGGCAACAAGGCTACTTCTTCAGGAGGTTGGTGCAGATCAGACCGGAGGAGGTGGTATCTAGGAAAAGGGGGTGCCAAAGATGGAGTTTTCTAGGGGAGGAGGGCAGGGCTGGGGGGTCCAATGGAGGAAGAAGGAAAAAAACTTGGAAAGCCTTTGGGAGTATGGGTCCAATCCTTCCCAAGCCCTGGGGCTGGTGGCAGTGACCTATACCGTGTCCTGTAAGGCCCTCTCCAAAGAGTCTCCTAGGGCAGAGCGTTTAATGGTGCTCCCCCTTAGCCCCAGGATGCCCTAATAAGGTCAGCACTTTTAGAACGTACCACAATGTGAATGAAATTGGCTGCAGTCTTTAGAAACAGAGGTGTTCAGGTCTGATGGCCAAGGAGGCCTCGTTCGGGCTCTTCGTTCCTGTACCTCCCAGACCCTTGGGCTGGAAGTGGGGGAGGAGGGTAGAGATGGCAGGAAGCATAAGGGGAAATGGGCCTGTTGAAGGTGGAGACTCCAGCTCACAGGCTTCAAACTGTCAGGTGACTAGTATACATCTGTCAGTTCTGTTTAAAAAGCTGATCAATGGCCCTCTCCCTGGTGGCCTGGCAAGGATAGACCCCAGGTTGGGGATGCCTTCCCAGCTGGCACAGCTCCCACGAGGACTCCTTGGGCCCGGGGCTCCACCTCTGCAGAGTTCAACTGGAGCAGGAACAAGCAGAGTGGGAAGGAGGGTTGCAGAGCGATGGGCAAAAAAAAGCCAGGTGTGAAGGGGCCACCATCTTTGAAAGGGTGTTAGATTAGCCCCTGAGGCCCTTCCGCGCTGAGCTGTGCTAAGGGAAAACTCCCTGCTCTGGAACATCTTTCCCAGGGTCTGGCTCACCGGGGAGGGGCAGCACCCAGAGTATTAATCAGTTAACCCAGCCCCCTCCCCGAGATGGACTTCAGTGACATCTACATTGGAAACCCTTCAGCTATGCCCTGTTCCTAGGAGAGAAGCACAACTATTCTGGAGCGAGTGGAGCAAGGGCTCCACTCCAGCCTGCCCTCTGGCCCCTTTATTTGCTGCAGGGCTACAGCCTTGGCCCCAAGCCCTGGCTGACCAGTCTCTCCCCCTGACCCCCTTTTGACAGAGCTCTGGACTCAAGAGGACAGGGTGGAGGCAAGTTAGCACTTGGTCTACAACGAGGGAAGCGAGGCTGGGCATGTAAGCTCTGAAGCTCCCTCTTCTCTGGAGAGCCTGCATTCTGGGGCTCCCCAAGCTCCCTGGATGGCCTGAGGGGCCCCCTGGAGATTCAGGATGTCATGTGATAGTTGGTGGTGTGTATTCTTGTGTGTTGGTTACACGTGTCTTGAAATTTAGAATCATGTCGCACAGAATTGTCTATTTGTTGGGAAGAGAAAATGGGCTGGCAGCCCAGTCTTAGGTTCTTGCCGTTAGACCATTTAAAATTGACATTTAATTTTTCAAATCACTGTTGGTGCCTAATCACTTAAGTTATTAATTTATTCTGTTTTCTTTAAAAAAAAAATTTGTAACATGTATTTATCCTCTGTGAGTAGGGGTGGGGTGGGAGTGTGTTCCAGTGGGTCCTGTTTTTGCTGTGGTGACACATGGTACAGGCCTGGAGCTTGCAGGTCCCTTTTTACTGTGGTGTTGGAGCAGGACAACAATAAAGTCCATTAGAAGCAAATGGAGATGGCTGCTGGAGCTTGCCTCATCTGAAGGGGATGGAGTCCACACGCACTCACACCCAGCCTGGGTGCTCCAGTGGGCACCAGTTTGCTCCCTTTCACTTTAATAGTAAGTAACTGGGCACCTGTCCTGACTGGGAACAAGAACGAATCCTCCTTACCTTGGAATTTGTATTCCTGATGTACAAAATGGTGCACAGAGCGTAGAGAGGAATTCTGAGAGTGACTTGGTCTCTGACAGACTATGGGTTCGGCTTCTAGTCCACCAGCTCCAGGGTCTGTGACATTTCCACCTCCAGCACCTCAGCACAGGCCTAAGCCCCTGGCCACACCACTGCCTCCCCCCCTTCTCTGCCCTCTCAAAGACGACGGGCAGCGTTGGTGGAAAGAACTCGTGCATGCCTTTCCAGCTCCAAGAAGGAGATGGCATCTGGGGAAGGACCTGGGTGCAGGCCCAGGGAGCTGCCTCCCACCTTTCCGGGCCCAGATGTGCCCCAAGTACTCAAAGGAAGGAGGTAACAGCACTAGCCAGTTCGGGGCAGTCTAGAGCTCTCAGGGTCTGAAAAATCCCCAGATGCAAGGGCTTTGGCTTCACCTGAGAGGTGAGTCCCTTGGACAGTATCCCATAGGGCAGCCCCCAGCCTGGGCACCTGTCCTGCCTCTCAGGATACAGAATGTGTTCTCCCTTCTGCCCGCACCCGAGTATGCCCCCCACCACCGGTCCCACCCAGCTCTGCCCTCTGGGCAGAGGCCTCACCTTTGACTTAAAAGCGTGCGTTCACCTCCCATGGCATGTCACTACTGCCCAGACACAGCAAGAACCTAAGGGCATGGCAGACATCACAGCCACTGAGGCAGGAAGAATGACATCTTTGAAGGCTTCAGAGAACCTATTTTTATTCCTGTTTGAGACCCTGAGTCTCTCCTCTCCATTTAGAAGGGTACAGCAGTGTCAGGGCACAATGAGGTCAATATCTGCTCCTCTACCAAACCACCCCCACCAGCCCCCAGGCCGCACTCTAAAGCCAACTGATGAGGAGCTGAGCCAGCCAGCTTTCCTCAGGACGGACAATGGCTTCGCGAGCAACACAAACACATTTGCAGTAAAATAAGGATTCTCTATCTTCACCAGAAAGGGGATGCAAAAGGTGGCATCTCAGGCACTGAGGCAGGCTAGGGGGGAGGGGGACTGGGGAGTAAGGGTCTCCCGCTGTGACGAGGGGACTGTCCTCCCCTCTACGCACCACTGTTCAGTGTGGAGGGAGACCGTCTCTGATCCTGTGCCAGGCTGCTTCCCACCTCCACTCCTCTCAAAAAAGTACAACGGGTGCAGGCAACCACACACAGTGCCTCTGAAACCCCCCTCAGAGAAACAAGAAGGTGGCCACCACTGTGACACACAGGTCCCCACATGCTGCTCTGCTTTTTGTAGTAGAGAGCAATAGGATTGTCTGAAAGGAGCTAAAAGGGAAATGCTACTTGATGCCAAAACACTAGAGCTGTGGAGTTCAGCCCTGCTGGGGAGACAGGGGGGACAAGGCCCAGACAGTGTCCATCGAAGCTGCTTCAAGTTGACCAGGACACTTGGGTGTAAAATCTTAAAGGGGCTGATCCCAGTGTCAGGGGCTTGGGGCTCACCTCCATATCCGAGTCTCTGCAGACCCTTCAGGCTGAGGACCGGTGTCCCAGAAGCTTCCTCTCCACCTCTCCCGCCTCCTCAGACCCCACCTGGCAGAGCACCTCTGTCCCCACCCAGTTCCCAGAGGGAAGGGGTCAAGGCCTCCCCTGAGGTTTCAGGCTGGGGAAGAGTCCACATTAGAAGACCAGTCTGTGGAAGTCCCCGCCATTGCCACCTGCAGGATTGCAGCCTCCAGGAGAGCCTTCGTCCTCATCCTTGTCTTCATCGAAGCCCCTCCCCCAGTGCGGAGATGCTGGGAGTGCAGAGATGTAGGCCGCCCTGCTCCGTGCCTCCTTCTCCTGCTCCTGGAAACACAGATGGGGCGGGGGAGGCTTAACATTCAGGCTCTGAAGCCAGAGTCTTCCCCTCACTCCCTGCCCTACTGCTGTCCAGCACAGCATCTCTGAGTGTCTCCCACGGCCCCTGGGGCCACAGCTTCTGCCCAAGGAGTGTTCCAGCCCAGTGGGAGGATGGGTTGGAGAGGATCCATCCTTCTACCCTGTATCTCAGCTTCAAAACCCTTCCTCCTTCTCCCAGTAAAATCTCTCAGCCCCTCGGTTTTATAAAAGAAACGCATTCAGGGGCGCCTGGGTGGCGCAGTCGGTTAAGCGTCCGACTTCAGCCAGGTCACGATCTCGCGGTCCGGGAGTTCGAGCCCCGCGTCAGGCTCTGGGCTGATGGCTCAGAGCCTGGAGCCTGTTTCCGATTCTGTGTCTCCCTCTCTCTCTGACCCTCCCCCGTTCATGCTCTGTCTCTCTCTGTCCCAAAAATAAATAAACGTTGAAAAAAAAAAATTTTAAAAAAAAGAAACGCATTCATACAAGACTATGAATAACCAACAAGGGCCCGACATGGCACCAGGGAGGAGGGTCCAGGGACTGAAAGATCAGGTCACAGCACAGAGGGACCTCTCCACAGGTTTCCTGATGCAACTGTCCAGCTCACTGCCTCTCAAGGCATTAAGAACAAACTCACCGGTGAGACACGTCGTCCTCAGGCTGAACTGAGGCCAGCCTCACGGAGACTCCTTACCGCTGGCCCTGCCTCTGACAGCCCAGCAGAAATGTACAATCAGGCCTGCTATCCCCACTCAAAACACCGACTACCTGGCACTTAATGTCCACGGGTCCTGGTGCGACTACTCTGCTGTTCCAGCTGCTAAGTATTCTGATACTGCCCCTGACTCCAAAGAGGGGAGTAGATGGCACATGAGAAGAGGTTTGGGGCAGGGTGGCCCCCGGGTACCCCTGGAAGCCTCAACTCTTCATTCACAAAACCCCGTGTTGCTCCTTTAGGTACATGAGACAAACATTAACAAATAATGGAAAGTCTGTTCCTCTGAAGTTAAGGATTATGTCTGTCTAGTCCACCAACATATTCCCAGCACAAAGTAGCTGATAAAAGGACAGCAGAAAAAGGAGATGGGACACCTGGGTGGCTCAGGTCATGATCTCACAGTAAGCTGGAGCCCCCTGTGGAACCTGCTTGGAATTCTCTCCACCCTTCCCCTCATGCAAGCTTTCTCTCAAAATAAACATGAAAAAAAGAGATGGGGGCGTCTGTGGGGCTCAACTGGTGGAGCTTCTGACTCTCGATGTGGGTTCAGGTCATGATCTCAATGTGAGGTGCAGCCTATTTGGGATTCTCTCTCTGGCCTTCCCCCCCCACCGCCCAACGTGTGCTTTCTCTCTCTCAAACATTAAAAAGAAAAGGAGGACACAGGGGAGCAATAACACATCCAAGCTGCTGGTTGTGTGGGAAGCCCTCCACCCAGGAGCTCAGCCCCAGCCCAGGAGGGCCTGCTCACCTGCAGGTAAAGGATGTTGTCTTTGGAAATGGCCTCCATCAAGTCTTTGTGGAGCGTGGGCTCTGCCCGACCTCTGGGAGAGCTCGGCTCGGTCTCAGGCCCCTCCCCAGGCCGCTGCCGGTAAAAGAGCACGTAGGCCGTGTCCTTGGGGAAGAAGGAGGTGACATTACTGACGGACTCGAAGGAAGAGAAGGACACCCGAGTGTCGTTGAACAGGTACCACTGGTTCTCGGGCTCGGGCCTGTCCACAGCGCCCAAAGAGGGGGCCGGGCGGGCAGCGCCCTCGCGGGCATAGCAGTAGTAGTGGCCGCTCTCCGAGGACACTCCCGAGTGCACGACGACACTGCAGAGGTCGTAGGCCTGGCCGCGGCCCCCGGCCAGAGGCAGGCGGAGCAGCAAGGGGATGGAGACGTCGTCCAGGATCTTGCGGCGGCGCATGGAGCGCAAGTCAAAGGAGAAGCGCAGCAGGGTCAGGATGAGGTAGCGCGGCCCCTGGCTCAGCTCCACTGCCTTCTCGGCATCCTGCAGCGAGGCACAAGGCTCGCAATAGTAGCGGTTCTCCGCCGTCAGCCGCTCGGGGGACAGGAAGTAGTTGACCAGGTCCAAGACGGACCGGGAGCCCTCCCCGGCGGCGCCCCTCTGGCTCCCTGGCCCCGTGCCGTCCTCTTCCTTCTCCTTTGTGGTCTCTGCCTCCTTCTCCTTCTCAGCCTTCGCTTCCTCCTCTGCCACCGCCTCCTTCTCTTTCTCTTCCTCCTCCTCCTGCTCTCGGGGCCTCTCCTCCTCCCGAGCTTCCTCCTCCACTTCCTCCTCCCTCTCCACCTTCTCCTCCCCACTGATCTGCCCCCCAGGTCCCTGGGGGCCCAGACCTTCAATGTCCAGGACAGCAGTGGGGGCGTCCCCCGTGACACAATGTTTCCTCTGCCTCCGAGAACCCACCCTGCTTGGAACCTGGGCTTGGGATGGTGACGGGGGGTCCCCGACCCCAACGTCCTCTGCAGGGAGCATCACTGAGCCCAGGCGGCGGCGGCGACAGCGGTCGGTGGGGGGGAAAGCGAGAGAGAGGTCCGTGAAGGCCTCTTCCCTGGAGGAGACGTTGAGGCAGTGGAGGCAGCGTATCCGAGTAACAATCTTGCCTCCGAACATCTTCTCCACAGAGGTGGGACTTGGGCTGGGGGGCTCCTCCGGTGGGGAGGGCAAGCTGGACTGCTTGAGCTTTTGGCAGATCCTGGTCCCCGTCTTCTCCTCCTCGTGTAGCCTGGAGCAGAGAGCGCAGGGCCTTCACACACAGGCACAGATCCTTGCCCCGTGCTCGGGCCTGATTTGTGCCATCTACCTTATCTGCAGGCCACACGTTTAGATGTGTGCATGCGTCCGCACAGGGACTACACACAGGTGTGCAAAATGTCATCCATGCACGTGCACACTCACAAGCCAAGCACATGTGCCACATACCCCCCCCCATACAGACACACAAACCTGCCACACGAAGACAGGCCGTACCTGCGTGCACGTGCCCCCAGAGCTATGCTGAACACGCGCCCCTGCACTCAGGCAAGCACAGCACACGCGTGTGCACATACTAACCCCTCCCCGGTCATACACGCAGACCCTGCCCACCCCTCACAGGCCTCCACACACATTACGCTTTCCACAAGTGCAGCGTGGCACCCATTTCCAGGAGGAGGCAACAGGGCCGGAGACACAGGCTATCCCACAGGCACCCTTCTCCAGCCCTGAAGCCCCCATGCAGAGCCAGGTCTGGCCGCCCTCACCGATCCAACAGGTACTTCAGGTACTCAGAGCAGTCCTGCTGGGTGCCAGGGCTGAACCAGGGTGTCCAGGATGCAGACAGGAAATTCTCTGGAGAAATGGCAGGCCTCTAGGACCAATGCAGATGAAAGACAGGGTCAGGAGCAGGAGGCCACTCTCTAACCAGCTTGGCCAAGTGCTAGGCCTGAGGGTCCACCTGGGGATTCTCTGTCCCAAACATCTGGCCTCCTCTCTGAAGTCTTCCCCCCTTCCTAGTTGTACCTGACCTGACCCATCCCATCCCACCAAGGGCATGCAGCCTATGAGCATGGCATTAGGTTCATGGAGAAGAACAATCCTCTAAGAACTCACTCTTTCCCGACACATCTCCAGACCCTTGTTCAATGCCATTCCTTCTGCCTAAAATACCTTTCCTCCATCAAAAACTTAAAGAGTTCAAGTCCCAGATGTGCCGACGCCTGTTCTGTGCCATCTTCCCAGTGATCCCCTCCACCATCACAATTGTTTGCTCCCCTCCCTCCCTTGCAAGCATACGACACACTGCACCTCCCTCTGTTTGAGCACGACCATTGTTAGCTGCAGGTCTGCCTCCCCCAGCAGACTGGGAGCTCCGTGAAGGCAGGAGCTGTGGCTGACTCACCTCCGTGGCCCCCACAGGGCCTCACATAATGCTTGGCTAAGGGCTTTAGGTTCCATGAGGGCGGGACCGTGAACAAAACAATTAACACCCCCCAGGGTGACTGGCAGTGCAAGTGCTCCAAAATGACAGATGAGCAAAGCAGCATCTAATGTGAGGGAGTGAATCACTGAGGGGAGACAGGTGGGCAGAACACAGAAGGGGCTCAAAGAGACACTCCCTCTCCTGTCCCACAAGGCACTAAATCGGCCATGAACCCGTGCCAGCCCCAACCTGGGGCCGAACAGCTTACATCAGGAAGCAGGGACTTAGAGCCAGATGCAGACAAGTCCTGGGGAAGGGAAGGGTGTCAGACCAGAGCCTCCTCTCCACCACACCCCAACTCCCCCTGCACTCACCTGGCTGTGCTCCAGGAAGGCAAAGAGCCACTGCAGCTTGGTCATCAAGGGCTGTGAGTTGTTCTCTGTCAATCTGAGCACACAGTGTCTGAAGCTTCAAAATAAAGCAGAAGCATCCAGGTAAGCCAAGGGCATCCAAGGAGCCCCTACTCACCCACAGCACAAACAGGGCAGCCAGTTAAAGGCAAAACAGCCATTTCAATCTCAAGTCTGCGTCGGGGGCCGGGGAAGAAGAGCAGATGGATAACCCAGCTTAGACCATGAGGTGACCCCTGCAGCTCCTTCCAGTTCAGACAGCTCATGACTCCAAGTTCAAAGATTCAAAGGTGCTAAGATCCTATGGTCTTGGAGTTCTAAGGCTGGAAGTCTCGGGCACGCACCAGAGTCTGTGCCAGTATGGATCATCACCAGCCACCACAGCCATTCACACCTGTCTCCTCCTTCCCTCGGAAATGGTGTTCAGACCTACCCAGAGCAGCAGGCCTTGCTCCAACCTTGACCCTCCAAGTCCTCTCTTACAGCCCCTTCTTAGGGCCCCTGCACCATGGTCCTAGGACCACACCGAGCGGTTCCCCTGCCTTCGAGTGAGGGCAGGGGTCAATGTGAGGAGTCTGCTAAATAAAGGGGACACAGTGGGGCCAGACTGACTCCCAGCAACAAAGTATGATCCTGGAGGAGACAAGATCATACCGCTGACACCCGCATTACTTGGAACAAGCCAATTCTCAGGCCTCACCTCAGCCGCTGTTCTCACAAGCAGCTCTAGGCAAACAGGTCAGGCATCTTTCCAACCTGAGCCCGCTGCATATAACAGTGTTATCAAAGTGTCTGCCTACCTGTCTGCCACAAAGTTTAAGTTCAGAAGCTGAGTGAGCATTTAGGAACATGTACCCACAGACTTTAATTTCAGAAGCTGAATGAGCACTTAGCAACATGTATAGCGATCTGACCTATGAGCATATAAGCCCATGGTCTTTCTCCCAGTAAGTCATCTGACCATATTTTACAGAGATTTAACAGTCTGAGCAGACTCTAAGCTGGAAAAAAATAATCCTTCACCAGGTCTGAGAAGTATACGTGTTAGGAAGTGCTAAAGATTAGCTCCAACCTCCCCCTAGTGTATCTGAAGCTCAGAGAGGAGAAACCAATTTGAGGTCATACCATAAGGTGAAGCAAAGCTTACCTGCTCTATTACTTTTTAAAAAGATATCTAAATGTGGTGATGAAAGAGGAGTCAAATGGATCAACAGAATATAACAGAGAACCCAGAAAAAGACCCCCACAAATATAGTCAACTGACCTTTGACAAAGGAGCAAAGGCAAAAAAAAAAAAAAAAAAAAAA